CATGTTCTTCAACTCGGTTATCTCCTTGTTGTCTGTTCCAGCTTGCTTCATCGATCGATCGTATTCAGGACAGTTATTGATATTGGCTTGAGCCAAATTTTCGATGAGAGCTCTTCCTTGGGTTATCGTCTTTTGCCCAAAATCTCCATTGCTAGCTGTATCAAGTGAAAGTTTGTATTTTGGTTGCAAACCTCGGTAAAATGTGCTCAGCAGGCTTGATCCATGAAATCCATGATGAGGGCAATCACGTTCATACTCCTTAAAACGTTCCCAAGCTTCATAGAAAGATTCAGTTGGCCCTTGTTGAAAGGTTGAGGTCTTCGTTCTTAAATTGTTCGACCTTGACTTAGTGTAGAAGTGGTTTAGGAAAGCAGTTCTACATTCTTCCCAATTAGTAATCGATCCTGCAGGCAAAGACTTCAACCAACGGTGAGCTTTATCTGCTAATGAAAAGGGAAACAACTTACACTTTAAATAGTCAGGTGGAACTTGGTTTGTTCTCATCATGCTGCAAATTTCTTCAAAAAGCTCGATATGGTCCATTGGGTGCTCAGAAGGAACTCCATGGAACTGGTTTTGCTTCACCAATGAGATGATTTGAGGCTTGACTTCAAACTCATTCCGGTTTGGAAATGATACTTGAATCACAGATCGATTCTGAAAATTTTGAGTAGGTGCATCAAAATCAGCTATGTGATGGTTCCTGGCTTGTCTTCGTGTGTTGATTTGCTGGCGGAATAGGATGATGAACGAGTTCATTCGGCTGCATTGCTGGGTGGTCACCATCGGCTACATTGATAGGTGGATCAAGGTCTTCACGTCCTTCTCTCTCTCGGTTCTGGTGGTTTCTTGGAAGAACCTCATCATCCTCTCCATCTTGTCGAGCATGATCACCTTCTATGTGATCATTCTCTTTGTTTTCTCCATGTTCGGACCCGTCTTGGTCCATATTTAAATTTCGATCAATAGGTTCTCCAGGCTGGTCGTCGTTGGCCATTTCTTGCGTTCGTCTAAGTCTTCGAAGTTCTCTTTCGTGTCTGTCTATCTCGTCTAGAATTGGAATGTCTCCTGCAGGTCTACGCCTGGTATTCATGCAATCAGAGAAAGACAAAAGAAGGGAAAGATAGTTCAGAAAAACTTTAAGAAAGAACTAGAGATCAGGTGTCTAGAACAGAAGTTAAAACAAGAAAAATAGCAAAAGGCAGCGAAACAAATCCCCGGCAACGGCGCCAAAAACTTGATGCGTGCTCGTGTCAACTACGTGAGGGAACAAGTTTTACCCTTAACAAAACAAATGAAAGCCGCAAGTGCACAGCTAATCAGTTGTAGTATTTAGGGATCGAATCCACAGAGATTTGTGTGCCTGGTATTCTTCTACGGTTTTTAACTTTATGTCTAGACTAAATTGGTTTTAAAGGTTGGTTGTTTTTCTTGCGAATTAAACTAAAACAAAAGAAAGCAAATAAATCTATCCTAAAAAGCAAGTAAAGAAAATCGAATTGAATGCAAATGGAATAAGTAAAATATCGAACTAAACAAAAATAAGGCAAGAAAAATATCGCATGAAAGGTAAATAAAGCAAGTAAATAACGAACTGAAGAAATTGAAATGCAGGTCTAAGAAAGCAAGTAAAAATCGATGGAATTGTAAACTATGGCTAAAAACGCTAAGCTTTTGGGAACTCTAAGGGATCATAATCGGTTTTAACACTAAGGTAGATAGATTGGAATTAACGGATAACAATATATGGGTTCTAGAGCTAGAGTACGGCGGTATGATTACGTCACCGTCGTGATCATAACCAACTGTTTCTCGCAACCCTGACCAGTAGGTTTCCACTCTGGCCCTGGAAGGGAGAGAACGCAAGAGCTGCACAAGACTCGTCAATACTCACGATCTCGCCGCAGGTAGGTTTCCACTCCTATGGAAAAATCGCCTGTTTCATTCTAGGGCTGATACTTAATGGAAACTTTCGCAACACTAACTATCTAGATCAGATACTAGGTGATCAATCAAGCATATATGCAATAAGAACAAGAATAAACAGAGAACAGGTCGAAATCCCAGATCTATAAACCTAGATGTCTTAATCGATTACGAGAGCCCCTTTCGGGAACCCTAAGCCCAACTCGGGATCTACTCAGACATGGCTGAGTTCGACATCATCATTGGTTTTAATAAAAGTAATGAAAAACAGTAAAGAAAAGAGATAAAGAAAGCTTCTCTATTGAAGAACTCGGACTTGAAAAATCTTCTACAAAAATCTCATAAAAACGGCTAAAGGAAAAGGGTTTCTGTAAAGTATCTAGGGTTCTTCCGAAAAACGACCTAAATGACATGTATTTATAGTCTCCAATACTCCATGGTCTCTAGGGTTCCGGAATTGAGGCTGTGAATGACTTTGGGCTTCAGATAAATGGGCTTTAAGTCGGAGCTTGAATGCCGCGGTGGGGAGTGTTGTGACCGCGGCAATTGGCTTGTTGGCCGCGGTCGGGAAGCTTCTGACCGCGGCAAATAGCTTGTTGGCCGCGGTCGCGTGAGTTGCTGGCCGACTCCGCGTGGCTCCGGGGCTAATGAAATATCTTGAGATCCAACCGTTGGAATGTCTCCAAACCAAGTGCAATTGAAAGATGGTTGATTCTTCTATAAGTTGTCCAATTTTGAGGGTGATCAGACGGTGAGAAGGTCTTCGTTTCTCCATGAGAGTTCTGACGGTCTGCATTTATCCAAAAGAGTCTTTTTGTTCCATTTTGTGCCTCTTTATCCCAAATTACCTGAAAAGTCTTTTAAAATCCGGAAACATAGAAATCCTTTGAAAACCTTTGAAAATGGAGTAAAAACATATGTAAAAGATATTAAAATGATCCATAAAAATGGTCAAAATCCAGTGTTATCAGAATCGAGATGGGATCTGTCAAGCTGGCTTTAACGCTCTCTCTTGAGGGATCGGTCAAGGGTTTCGAAGTGGATCGAAGGCACCACAGAGACAATGAACGGATCTCTGATACAGTGACTCAACTCTTGGTGAATCACACATGCAAGAACAAGCAAGAAAGCTCTTAGGCACAAGCTAAGAAAAACGGCGTTATTTTATTGATATCAGAAAAAGGTTAAAGTACAAGAGCTGCATGTGGGACTTTATAAACAGTCCGTCAACTTTGAACCTTCTAGGGTTTGACTCAATGAATAAAAAAGACACTAAGGACTCAAAACAACAGGACTTGTAAAAAGAAATAAAGCAAAATGGCAAAGCGTCTCATTTGGACACAAAAATGGAAAGTTCACTTAAAAATAAAAGGAAAAGAAACTAATCGTGTGAAACCTTTTCTGGACTTGTTCTGTGCACCTCTGATGCTCTCTAGTGTGTTAAACACCACTAGGATACTCCCATGTTACCTGCACAGATCGTATAAATGGAAAATACCTGGTTACGGCCGGTTGTGGGCTTGCTGGTTACGTCGTTGAGTAGCTCGTTAGTCTCGAGGTTTTCTTCGTTAGTCTTGATGTTTTCTTCTTCTAGAGTCCTGCTAACGTTGTGTCCTGCAAGTTCTTCAGGTTTCTTCACGCGTCCCACTTCATGTTCCTCTTCTTGTCTCATTTGCTCGCTATCGGCTCCGAGTCTTGAAACGGTTGTATCTTGAGGGTCCAATGCGGTCTCTTCGAGATTCTTGGTGTTTCGTGCTCCATTTCCTGCCAAATAAACATGTATACCTGGTTCTAGTTGAGGCTGGTTCTCTTTGAGGCTCAAACGCGCGAAACCCTCCATTATGTCTAAATCGGGTCCTTTGGGGCTGTCTCGCGTGTATTGCTCTTGAATCACGGTTTTGAATGCATCTCCAAGTTCCATGGTACTTAGTAATGATTCCACGGCCAAGTTTAACCCTTCTCTAAGCCTCCTTGCTTTGGAACGGGTCATTGGTGCTTCTTGAGCTCGGGAACGATCTTTGGGTCTGGTGATGGTTCGATGGCCTCATCATTCCGTCCCTCTTCAAGAGGTTTTGTCCTCAAAACTGTTTCACCTGCATCATAAGGAGACAAATCAGCAACATTAAAACTATGTGAAATGTTTAACTCACCTGGGAGTTCTAATCGGTCGGCGTTGTCATTGATCTTCTCAAGCACTTTGAAAGGTCCATCTCCGCGAGGTGCAAGCTTGGAACTCCTTTTCTGTGGGAACCTTTCGGGTCTCATATGTAGCCAGACCCACTCTCCTGGTTCGAAAACAAGTTTCTTGCGTCCTTTGTCAGCTCTCCTTTTATATTCCTCCGTTTTCTTCACTATGTTATCTCGGGCCTTTTCATGTATCTTTTTCACAAACTATCCTTTCTTGAGGCCGTCTAGATTAACTTGTTCATCTTGGGGTATTGGCGAGAGATCTAAAGGCGTCAGTGGATTAAATCCATACACAACTTCAAAAGGAGACATCTTAGTAGCCGAGTGAGTAACATGATTATAAGCAAATTCAATGAAAGGCAAACAATCTAACCATGTTTTCAGATTTCGACCAAGAGTGAACCTAAGTAAAGTAGATAGTGTATGGTTTACCACTTCAGTTTGCCCATCCGTTTGAGGATGACAAGTTGTAGAGAATTGGAGATTGGTGCCAAGCTTTCTCCAAAGGGTCCTCCAAAAGTGGCTTAAGAACTTAGAGTCTCGGTCAGAGACAATCGTTCTTGGCATCCCATGTAGTCTCACCACCTCTTTAAAGAACAAATCCGCGGTTTGTGTGGCATCATTAGTCTTGTCACAGGGTATGAAGTGCGCCATTTTTGAAAAGCGATCAACAACAACAAAGATCGAGTCTTTGTGCCTGATCTTGGGTAAGCCTAGTACAAAATCCATAGAAATATCCACCCATGGTGCGTTAGGGATAGGTAAAGGTAAATATAGACCATGAGGATGTAACCTGGACTTGGCTTTATGACAAGTAACACATCGTGAGCAGTGTCTCTCCACATCTTTCTTGAGGTGCGGCCAAAAGAAGTGGTCAGCGATTACAGCTAGTGTCTTGTCCACTCCAAAGTGACCCATGAGACCCCACCGTGTGCTTCCTTCAGCAATAGCTCCCTCAAAGACCCTTGTGGAACACATAGTCTCTTGTCTCGGAAAAGAAACCCATCGTGTAGGTGATATGAGGTATATGCTCCCTTGCCATGGCCTTGATAAGCTTCTCCGAACTCGTGATCTTCTTTGTATAACTTCTTGATATGCTCAAAGCCGAGTACCTTGGCCTCCATAGTAGATATCAATGTATGCCTTCTTGAGAGTGCATCGGCCACCACATTTTCTTGTCCCTTCTTGTACTTGATCACATAAGGAAAAGTCTCTATGAACTCCAACCATTTAGCATGGCATCTCTTAAGTGCGTTTTGTCCTCTTAAGTGCTTTAAAGTCTCGTGATCAGTATGAATGATGAATTCCTTGGACAACAAGTAATGCTGTTAGGTCTCCAATGCTCGGACTAAGGCATATAATTCCTTGTCGTATGTGGGATAATTTAGTGTGGCTCCACTGAGTTTTTCACTGAAGAATGCCACTGGTCTCTTTCTTTGGTGTAGTACAGCTCCAATTCCCACCCCTGAAGCATCACACTCCACCTCAAACATCTCGTCAAAGTCTGGTAGGGCTAAGACAGGTGCTTGTGTTAATCGGCTCTTCATGGCTTCAAAAGCTGCATCTTGGGCTGGCCCCCATGAGAATGGCACGTTCTTCTTGATCACCGCTGTGAGTGGGGCGGCCACCGTGCTGAAATCTCGTACAAAAAACGCCTATAGAAGCTGGCCAGGCCATGAAAGCTTCTAACATGACCAATTGTAGTTGGTGTAGGCCACTCGCGTATTGCCTTGATCTTCTCCTCGTCTACTTGTAATCCCTGTTCACTTACTACAAAGCTTAAGAAAACAAGCTTGTTAGTACAAAATGTGCACTTCTTAAGGTTAGCATATAGGCCTTCCTTGCGAAGTGTTTTAAGCACTAGTTCGAGGTGTTGAAGATGATCATTAAGGTTCTTACTATATATAAGTATATCATCGAAATAAACAACTACGAATTTACTTATATAAGCTCGAAGAACCTGGTTCATAAGGCGCATGAAGGTGCTTGGTGCATTAGTCAAGGCAAAAGGCATAACTAACCACTCATACAAGCCTTGTTTGGTCTTAAATGCGGTTTTACACTCGTCTCCTTCACGCATTCGTACCTGGTGGTATCCACTCTTTAAGTCCACCTTTGAGAAGATTGTGGATCCGCTTAACTCGTCCAACATGTCATCTAGGCGTGGAATGGGGTGCCTATACTTGATGGTGATGTTGTTGATGGCACGGCAGTCCACACACATTCTCCATGTACCATCTTTCTTGGGTACTAAGAGAACCGGCATAGCACAAGGACTGAGACTCTCACGGATATAACCCTTGTCCATTAGGTCTCGTACTTGTCTTTCTAGCTCCTTAGTCTCTTCGCGGTTCATCCTATAAGCTGGCTTGTTGGGCAAGGCTGAACCGGGAACTAAGTCAATTTGGTGCTCTATTCCACGAAGTGGTGGCAACCCTGGTGGTATCTCTTCGGGGAATACATCCTTAAACTTGTTCAGAATAGCTTGTACTTCAAGTGGTATCTCAAAGTCACCTAGACCTGCGCTTAGACACTCTTTAAACATCATTAGTAGCACGGTGCCATTGGCACTGATGGTTTTATAAACATCACTAGATGATAAATAAAGACTGTTTTTAATTAGCTCAGATTCTTTGTTTATGTGCACTTGCATTTCATGTACCTCGGTGGGGCTTAGAGGCGCAAGATTGTACTTACGCTTCTTGTGCATGAAAGAATAATGGTTGGTGCGGCCATTGTGGTTCGTGGCTCGGTCGAATTGCCACGGTCTACCGAGTAATAGATGTCCGGCTTGCATGGTACCACATCACAAGTGACTTGATCATGGTATTGCCGATACTAAACGGTATGGACACTTGCTCGGAGATCTTGAGCTCGGTCTGGTCGTTTAACCACCTTAAATTATAAGGGCGAGGATGCTTTGTCTTCTCAAGACCTAATCTGTCCACCATGTACTTGCTAGCCACGTTAGTACAAGAACCACTATCTATAATAAGGTTGCATACCTTGTTTTTGACGGTGCATCTAGTATGAAATATGTTCTCTCTTTGGACTGTTTCCTCAGGATGAACTAGAACGCTTAGCACTCGGCGAGTTACTAATAGTTTACCGGTATCAGGATACTCTATCTCCTCGTCCATGTCATTAGAGTCGTCTTCTTTCTCATCTTGAGACTCGTAGTCCCCACTTGGTGTGATGATCATGACTCGCTGATTAGGACACTCCCTTGACATGTGTCCCCTGCCTTGACATCTAAAACATGTTATATCACGAGTTCTTGATGTGGGATTAGAGGACTTACCTTGTTCGGCTCGGTTGAATTTGGGAGCCTCTGTGCTTTTGCCTTTGAATCTTAATTCAATCTCCACGGCCTTGCCTTCGTCTACCGGTTTAGAACTGCTGGCGTTCCACGGCTGGCTCGTGCGGTTGCGGCTGGTAAGAGCGGTCTTGCGCTTGATTTGCTGCTCCACTTGAACGGCAAGATGTAATAGCTCGTGTAGTCCACTATATTGGGCTCTCTCCACCTTTCTTGCTATTCTCTCTTATAAACCGTCAATGAACTGCGCCATCAAGGCTTCCTCTGATTCTTCCAACTCCAACGAGTTCATCAGCTTCTCAAACTCCTCAAAGTACTCATCTACACTTCTGTTTCCCTGAGACAATTTGCGAAAACGCTTTTGTAACTCTCTATGATAGTGTTCAGGTACGTACCTAAGTCGTAGGAGGAATTTCATGTCGCTCCAAGTGATGACTGGTCCAAAACGTTGCCTCCTTCTCTCGGCCACGTTTCTGTCCCACCACGCTAAAGCATTATCAGTGAGTTGTGCAGCTGCAACAGCCACTTTCTTGCGCTCAGCGTAGCCATAGCACTCAAATATGTGCTCTAGTCGTCTCTCCCAATCCAAGTATGCCTCGGGGTCCGATTTTCCTGCAAAGGTAGGAGGCGTTAGCTTGAGATCATGGGTTTGCTCTCGGGTATCTACTACCCTAGCTGGATTTCTTCTTAGAGGATCCGGCCTCCTCTGCTGTCGATGCTGAAGAGGGTCAGGTGGAATTTCATCTTCTAGCTCGGGCATCTCTTCATCATCACTCGCGTCACCGGCTAGTACTTGTACTCCTCGAACTGGGGCTCTCCTTGGTTGTGCCTCAACTCGATCTATTCTTGCTCCGAGTTCTTGACGAATATTTCCCATTTGTTGAGTCATGTTCCTCAGCTCCTCTCTCATTGCGGTCATCATTTGGACAAGAGCATCATTCGGAACAGGTTCTCCTTCGGCCATGTTCCTAGCTAACCGCGATTGGTGTCCTTATACTCAACAAAAACAACAACTAGTCAAAAGTACCACCGAATATTAATGATAACAAAATGCTAGACTATGTAATTCGATACTTAAATGAAGCTAAATAACTTTTTATAGGGTTTTCAAATTTTAGTTTGCAAAGAACAAGAACTAACAGTCTTAAAAGCTAGCAAGGCAACAGATCCTTTTTTTTTTTTTTGACTATTGAATACGAAAGCAATTAAATTTTTTTCTAGGGTTTTCGGTTTTATGAATCAAAATAAACTAAACGAGTATGAATCAAATGAAAAAGTACAAGGGATAGAAAACCAAAGGCTCTGATACCAAAATGATATAAGACTCGGGTGAGACTTATATGATTGCGGAATCGATGGCTCGGTGGGAACTACACGCTGGCTATGACGCTCTCTCGTGTAGATCAGTGGATGAAGATGGTAAGACAAGGCTTGCTTCCACAAGACTTGCATCGAGATGGGATCTGTCAAGCTGTCTTTAATTAACGCTATCTCTTTAGGGATCGGTCAAGGGTTTCGAAGTGGATCGAAGGCACCACAGAGACAATGAACGGATCTCTGATACTGCGGCTCAACTCTTGTTGAATCACACACGCAAGAACAAGCAAGAAAGCTCTTAGGCACAAGCTAAGAAAAACGGCGTTATTTTATTGATATCGGGAAAAAGGTTAAAGTACAAGAGCTGCATGTGGGACTTTATAAACAGTCCGTCAGCTTTGAACCTTCTAGGGTTCGACTCAATGAATAAAAACGACACTAAGGACTCAAAACAACAGGACTTGTAAAAAGAAATAAAGCAAAATGGCAAAGCGTCTCATTTGGACACAAAAATGGAAAGTTCACTTAAAAATAAAAGGAAAAGAAACTAATCGTGTGCAACCTTTTCTGGACTTGTTCCGTGCACCTCTGATGCTCTCTAGTGTGTTAAACACCACTAGGATACTCTCATGTTACCTGCACAGATCGTATAAATGGAAAACACCTGGTTACGGCCGGTTGTGGGCTTGCTGGTTACGTCGTTGAGTAGCTCGTTAGTCTCGAGGTTTTCTTCGTTAGTCTTGATGTTTTCTTCGTCTAGAGTCCTGCTAACGTTGTGTCCTGCGAGTTCTTAAAGTTTCTTCACGCGTCCCACTTCATGTTCCTCTTCTTGTCTCATTTGCTCGCTATCGGCTCCGAGTCTTGAAACGGATGTATCTTGAGGGTCCAATGCGGTCTCTTCAAGATTCTTGGTGTTCCGTGCTCCATTTCCTGCCAAGTAAACATGTATACCTGGTTCTAGTTGAGGCTGGTTCTCTTTGAGGCTCAAACGCGCGAAACCCTCCATTATGTCTAAATCAGGTCCTTTGGGGGTGTCTCGCGTGTATTGCTCTTGAATCACGGTTTTGAATGCATCTCCAAGTTCCATGGTACTTAGTAATGATTCCACGGCCAAGTTGAACCCTTCTCTAAGCCTCCTTGCTTTGGAACGGGTCATTGGTGCTTCTTTGAGCTCGGGAACGATCTTTGGGTCTGGTGATGGTTCGATGGCCTCATCACCATTCCCCGAGGTTCTCTTTGATTTAGACGAAGAAGTGAAGGATCCGACCTTTCTGCTGCATCCTCGTGTGGTTGATGAGACCTCACTCAACTCCTCTCCCGAATCTCTTTTTGTTCCTCCTGGTACCATTTTTCCCTTCTGTTTTTTCCAGGTCACTTCTAGTTTCTCCGTCGTCTCTTACGGTTTCTCTTTTCTCCGAGATATTTTCTTCGGAATCCTTGGATGCCTTATTGGTGGCTCACGCTAAGTACAATGGTCTCATGGGTCCTAGCGCTCTTCTTCCTCACGGTCCTCTCTCCAGCGCTTAATTTCCAAGGGTGGGCTCCTCTCGGTTCTTGGTGACTCTCCCCCCGGTGGCTCTCCTTCCGACAGCAACTCCTCAAGGGAGGACTCTCCTCCGGCCTGAGCGATTCTCTTTCCCACGGTTCTTCTTCCGACACCGACTCATCGGGGGAGGATTCTTCCCGTCCTCAGGCGGTTTCACCGTACCTGCGAGTCTTCCGGTGTGCATTTCTCTCACCTTTCTTTTTGACGTCTTTGATGGTCTGATTCACCCTCCTTGTGTCTTTACGTTGACCTATGCACCTCTTTCTTTTGGATTTTCGTTGTAGGTTGTTTTCTCTCCTGATAGGAGGGAGAACGCCATTGTGCGAGGCGAGGGATCATCTCCGCCGATGAGGAGAATAATCTCTAGTGCAGGCGTTATTACAGTCCCAGCCACCCGCGAAGGCCTTCTCAATGAGGAGGCCCACTTCCTCAAGGTCATTGCTTTAGAGGAGTCTCGCCTCTCCGCATACCGTATGCGTTTGGACGATATGCAGCGGATTCGTTGCGGCGACTATGATGCGGTTGACGGTAGCCATGTGGCAAGCAGCTCGAGGGGGGGGGTGAAGAGACTGCGTCGCTCTCCTTAGCTTTTTCATTTTTTTTATATTGTCGTCGCTGTTATCTCCTTTCGTGGAACTTTTGTGTTTGCTATCTGGATATTTTCTTCATGCTTTTTTTTTTGTTTAGACTGGCAAGCTCCCGTTGCTCTTTTCTCTTTCTTTTCTGCATTTTTTGCTTTCGTTATTTCGATCTGGATCTCTGAACGTAACCAGATTCCGACAGGCCAATTTGTCACAATTTTCCCCCTTTTTGTGTGCCTTCTGTTCTGGTGGGGACTCTCTAGATCACCGAATGTCCCGAGCTTGTCCGTCTTTCCTTTTTGGGTTCATCGCCAGTCGGTCGCTAGACCTGGGCCGTCACGCAGATCATGCTTATTTCTCTTTTCTTGGTCGTTGCCCCAGATCTGGGTTCTGTAGCGGTTCTCCACTTGGTAGAATAAGATTTACTTTTATTTTTAGAGTTTTGCCCCCTTCTTTTTAGCGCCGAATTTTTTAGGGGAGTTTCGGTCTTCCAGTAGGGGCAAGTCTCTTGTAAAACAGAAAAATTTTCAAGACACGAAAAACACGATGGGGGTGTGTTTTCTGAAGGCACTTCGACGCTCTAGTCAGAAAACAGCTTGAAAAAGACCACAATATAGCTGATTGGACAACGGAAAGAAGTCGGAAAACTTTGTGAAGGAAAATGGGCCGAGAGTCTTTGAGAAAGGTAGGATCTGCTCGGGCCTTGGAATGAGAATGTGCTTTTTACGATGAAAAGAGAGAAAAAAAGAGTTTGTGAGAAAAGAAGATCCACGGTTTAGGAACCGCCGTGGTGGAGGAACAAAGTGAAATGACCAGAAAGATGGTCGGAATTGTATAGAATGTCTGGACTTAAGAACCACAAGTATCTAAGAAGATATCGTGAGACCGAAGATGACTAAAAAAGTGAACCTTCTCCCCGTAGGAAAGGGTAAAGTATTTATAGGGAATTACCTGATGTTTTTTAGTATACCAGGTTGACCCATAAATAGTAGATCGGAAGAGTCGTATCTACAAAAAATCCATGAACGCCACGTGCTAGCACGTGATTCGTCCACATAAGAAAAATTGAATTTATCCCCAATACTGAGTAAAAGATAAAAATACACTCATTTTTTTTTTCTCATGTTATCATCACTAAATTGTACAAAGTTAAATTGGTCATAAACATTAGCAAAATTGCTATTTTCTTATAGTATTTTGAGAAAATGCTAAAAAAAAAACTAATACAATGTGAAGTAAGTGCTAAAATTTGCAAATTTCTTATTAAAACTAACTTTACTCAGAACAGTCTATTCTATTAAAATAGGTAAGTTTTTAATGTCTAAATAGAAAAAAATACATACAAGTCTTTTTTAATAAAAATTATTCATGTTGCGAGACAGATTTATTAATTAATTATTAATATATATAAATTAATTTATATATATAACTTTAATTTTGAAATTTAAATATTAATTTAGAGTATTTTAGATTTCCTTAAATATAGATTATATTATTTACCAAATATCACAAAAACCAACTATTATCTTTACAAAATGATAAATCAGATATTAATTAGATTTAGCAATACTTTTTTGATAACAAAATTAATTCACATATGAAAATAATGGTTATATTTAAAATATAAATATTTATAATGATGTAAATGATATAATTTTTATGTTGATTATATAAAATATTTATGATTATGCTTTATTTTCAAATTAATAACAAAACAATGGGTAAAAGTTGAATGGATAATTTAGGTGTTAAAAATATAGAATTCAAAATATATATAACAAAACGGCTTAAATAATTTGGGTTATTAAAATCAATAATTTTTAATCATATATGTATATCAAAATTCTATTTTTTTCATACAAAATACAAAACATAAAAACATATAGAAAAAGTTTTCGCAATTTTAGAAAACTATATAATATGTTCTATACAAAAAAAAATTAACACATCTCAACCTTTAAATTATACGATAATATGAACAGACGAGTTATAATTATTCTTTAATAATCACAATATTTTTATATTAATATGAGCATACGAGTTTAAATTATACAGTTATTTTACAGTTATTTTACAGTTATTTTTAATACTATAAAAAATAATATAAAAAAATTATATCTAAATATAAAAATAAATATATCACTTATTAAAAATTATATCTAGAAAAATGATTATCTCTAAACAATAAAACATAAATTATATTATGAAATTAATAAATAAATAAAAAAAATTTGTGCAGGTGCATGGAGTAGAATCTAATAACATCTTATTCAATAAAAATTGATGTTAACAAGCAGAGTCGGATCTAGGCCAAGCCTATTGAAATATTTGTTTCAAGCCCCTAAATTTTTTAGTCAAATTTAGCCCCTAAATTTTTAGTCAAATTTAGCCTATAAATTTTTTTTTATAAAACCAATTAAGCCCCTATTTTCGTTTTTGTTTCAAACCTCCAAAATCTCAGATCCGACGACTCGTGAAAAATGCCTCTTACAATTTAGAGTGAGAATGAAAATTTATTGG